AGGCGTGATTTTTATGGCCCCGCACACACAGTCAATGCTGTCAACTTGGTGAATGTTCCTGGCAATACTAATATAGTAAATAGAGAGGGTGCTGTGCATATGAATGTGGGAATGTCCACAATGCAAGGTAATCGGTCAAACTCAAATTATCAGTTACAATACATGCAGATGAATCCAAACTTACAGGCAGGTGCTGTGGCATCATTTCAAGGAAATTTTAATGATTTAAGTCCTCAGCAGGTCAATATGATGCTACAACAGACTATGTTACAAAAACAGCAGCAGCAACAACAACAACAATTGCAGCAGCAACAGCAGTTGCATAATACATTTTTTGGAAAATCTATGCAAACTGGTTGTGGGAATAGCAATCTTCCAGTGGGAATACCCACAAGTCCTGATCAAATGCAGGCCAGTAAAATTGCAATGCTGATGAACCCGGCAAATAGAAACACTACAGACAATAGGAATATCATTCCTGCAAATATCCAGCATTTTTCTCCTACTGGGTTTTTAAATCCCAATCAGCAACAGCAGTGGCAACAACATCAAATCCAGCAGCAGCAGCAGCAGCAGCAGCAGCAACAACAACAGCAACAACAACAGCAACAACAACAGCAACAGCAGCAGCAATTGCAACAACAGCAGCTCCAACAGCAACAACTACAGCAGCAGCTGCAACAACAACAGCAAATGTTTCAACCATCTGTTTCAATGTCTGGTCAGTTTATGAGCAATTCAATGAACACACTCGAGAACTACGTCCCTATTGTACCAGCTTCAAAGAAAAAAATGAGACAGGTGGCTAATATGTCGTTTAATATGACTAGCCCTAACAATAATAATCCTATGTTTTGTCAGTTTCAGCAAAACAATGCCAATAACCACCAAGGAAATGTGTCTATGCCTAGAGTTAACATGGTTAAAAACTTTCCACAGCAAACATCGATGAACAAAATGTTTCCAGCCATGACACAGCAGCAACAGCAAATATTTATACAACAGCAGCAACAATTACAGCAACAGCAACAACAACAACAACAACAACAGCAGCAGCAAATAATGAGAGAGAATAATCCAACCCACAGTAAGCCAAGTCCAGTTACAAATCAGCGTGTGGATGCAAATGCAATGCAGCAAGCTATGTACCATAATTTCCAACAGAATCAAAACAGTGCTCTAAATACAAATGATCCATCAAATTCCTCACTTGCACAGCAAGTAAATAAGACACAAGTGCAAGTATCCACGAGTACAGCAAATGTGCACCCTGGGAAAACATCACCACGAGCTGCTGGGACATTAGCAACAGGAAATGTTCAATCTAAACCAAAAGGGCAAAGGAAGCCAAAAGAAAATCCCCTGCTTCAGAAGCCCAAAAGTAGTTCCTCTTCCTGTAATGCTGAAATAGATGCTATTTACAAAGCTGTTGTTGATGCAGCTAATTCAGGGATGCGTGTGGTTATCACAGGAGAACATGGGAAAACTGTAGATAAGTCAGAAATTGATCCACTAGTGATGGCAACCTCTTCTGAAACATCAACAACCATTACAGCACCTGCATCTTCATCAGTGTCGTCTTCACCACCATCTTTGTCATCAACCTCTTTATCATCCATTGAAAATTGCAATGAGACTAGTGCCTTGAGTAAAGATATACCTGAAGTGGACAATTTATCTGCAGTTGTGAGTGAAATTGTTCAGAAAACTGATGAATGCACAGATGTGCAAGTTGAACAGTTGAAACAAAATGATGTTAACAGCCATGAAACCAACAAGGCTTTAAATCATGTCTCCGAAACTTTGAATGATAAGGTGATGCACAGTAACAATGATTCTTCTCAGATAAGCCATAGTACTGAGACATCTGGAAATAATATTGATTCTTGTGTCATGAGCACTGATGAAAATGCAGTTGTTAGTTCAAACAATTCATTGCACGATGAAGTCAACAAACCAGGCTATGAAACAGAGTGTAATAGTCTTGATGGGAATAACTATACTGTGCCAGAAAGTCACACAAACAGTCTGCTAAATAACAATTCAAACAGTATAAATAAAACAATAGAAAGGACTTGTGATATAAACTCTCTTCTGGAAACTAACACTACTCATGGTCCAGTTGATGATTTGGTTGAATCCAGAAAAGCTTTAATTAAGCACAATCAGCTGAATTTTTCAAAAGCAAATGATGTGCTTGATTATGGTAATTATGATGAAGATGGTTATGAAGATGGTGATGATGATGATGACTATGATGATGAGGATGATGACTATGAGGATGATGACTCCGACAGAATGTCAAAGAATGATGGAGGTAAATATATTATTTTAAACTATTACTTTTAAACTACAAACAATTCAAATTAAAAGGTGTATAAAAAGTTTGATTCAAGTTATGCATCTTATAATTATTATCTTATTAAATTTATCAACTAATATACTGTACAACATTAATTATTGTGCAGCATTAAAAAGACTTGCAGTCCTGCAACAAGTCAAATGTCTGACATTATCATTTTTCACAGATGGATTTTGTTCGAACTTGGTACATACATTGGACATTATGGAACCTTGATCAGATTCAGAATGGCTCACTGGCGACCATTTTGTTTTAATGAATGTGGTTCTGGAGTTGTATCTCGGAAATGCTTTGACTGATTATGTTTAAATTTCATATATTCATTATACATCATGTCATAGATATACAGATATATTGGTTTGACAATTCTATTTAAAATGGCCGAATGGTGGCCTTTTTTTTGCTAAAAAATCAAGTTTTTCTGGCATTCCAAAATTTTGTTTTTCAGACTTTGACAATCAAGATTCACCTTATTTTATTGACACAAGCTGTCCACGGATATTCAATTTGGGTGATCTTGTATGGGGTCAAATACGTGGATTTCCGTCCTGGCCTGGGAAGATAGTTTCTGCAAGTGATGTGAAAGGAACTCCGCCATCAGAGGAAGGAAAAGTAAGTCCTAGCTCATGTAGTTATCTATTGATTAGAAACAGTATTTTGGTGATGAATGTAGCAATAGATTTATGCTTAAGAATGTGAAAAACTGCAATTATAATTTGTAGCTTACTGTGTGAATAGCTGTGTTGGAAGTCATTGGCCTTTTACTGATTTCATATTGTTAAATATTATCTAGTAGTTATGTTTATTCTTCAAATTACATAAACTTGGCTGAATCAGGTCATCCAGTAAGTGAAAAATACTGAAAAATATATCATTTCATGTTAATTTAACAAGCAGTGATATAAATTGGAAGTAGAATTTATTTGTAGGACCTTTATGTTTTGGAGACTGCTGCCTTCGATTTATTCTTGGTGGTTTTATATCAGAGTATTTAACCTAAAATGTACATGCAAAAGTATTGTATAATTATTGTTTTTGACATCAACTTTTCAGGTTTTTTTTTACCCAGTATGAAATATTTGTTTGGAGAAAAACTGCAAAATTGGACATTTTAGAATAGGAAGCCACGTTAAGGTAGAATGCTACTCAGAAGTAAAAATAATGTCTTCATTTGTTTCATTTGTGAAATTTCATCTTACAAGGATGAAGTAAATGGGAAAAAAATACTGGTACACCATACTTGTTTCAAGACATTTTACCATTGTTTCCCAATATTATAATACCTCAAAATTTTAGTCAGTCACTGTTCTCATTGGAAACAAAACCAATATTAAATTCCATTTATGCAATTATTAGCCAGTTTTTCTCAAAAAGCAGATTGACACTGAATATAAAAAGTCTACACACTGTTGTTGACCAATACTAAATTGGCAACTTGGTAAACTGATTGGTTCATGCAACCTTTTGACAGCATGGCTGAATATCATAGCATATTATGAGGTTATTACGAAGATACCAAAAAGTATACATGAAGACAGTACAGCGGGAGTATCTACCAACACACACCATACTTTCTGAGTGCTTACTTTCCAGTATCCTCGTAATAACCTTATTATTATACATCTTTTCCTCCCAAGGATACATCATGGGAATGCCGAAATACAAAAAGTTTAGAACAGATTGAGCGAACTTCTTTGTGTGGGGTCCAGTCAAACCCTGGGGGCTACCATGTTTATATTATTAGAGGAAGCTTACGTGTGTAATCGTTCCATATTTGGAATTCGCATTTCCTAATATGGTAGGATGAAAATACCTAGTGCAATACCGCAAAATTACGGCACACAGTAACATGACAGATGTATAATAAAGGTCAATATCTTATGATGATTTTTAAGATTTTATAATGGCCACAGTTTGAATTGACTCCAAAATTAGTAATTACGTTACCAATACATAGGGACTGTGATAAAACTATAAAACAACTATTAAAACTATTACATTAAAGGCGGTGGTTGTCATGCAGCCCCGGTTTTAATTTCATGTACATCCTCAATTAATGTGGGTTGATGTTTGTTCCACTGATGTTATTTTGTTTGTGTTGCAGGTGTGGGTTATGTGGTTTGGGGATCATACATATACACAAGTTGAGCCTGACAAATTGAAAACTCTATCAGAGGGTTTGGAGACTCATCACAGAGCACGAAAAAGAAATAGGAGGTAAGTGTGAAAAAGTTTTTTCCTATGTAAGTTAAATACATTGCTTATAGGCCATGATAGGCAGATCAACAAGATGGCAAATGTTGATCCATGTATCATGGTATGTTGTATGTCATGACTTGGTCATGACCTTGATCTGAATCCATGACAGGTGGGTCATACCATTACCAATCTCAGGAGAAAATGTAGAGGGGTGTCAGGGCTACATTTTGATGGAAATTATAGTGGTGATACTGAAACAAACCCAGGTTCTGGTAATATACAAAGACCTGAATTAACAAAGAAGTCAAGTTGTTATTAAAGGTACATCAAGGTTTACTCAGATTCATGAATGCAGTTTCTTGAGCATGTATGAGACATAGTTTGGTTGCACTTGTATACTCTGCGATTTTAGACCCAGATCAATGAAAGTTTTCAGTTATCAGATTAAGGGAAATCACTTTATGATGAGTTGTACCCACATAGAGTACATATTAATTCAACTGTTTGCAGAGTATTTTATAATTAAATAGCGAGGACTGTGACATTCATGTCTTGTTTTTTAGCTCCGCTGTTGACTTTGTCAAGCGGAGCTTATCATATGAGTGATTGTCCGTTGTCGTCCGTGTCAATGTTTTACTTTTTCGTCTTCTTCTTGAAAACTACAAGCCTGAATGCTTTGATACTTGGCGTGTATGAACCTGGGGTAGACCTCCCGTAGATTTGTTCATTTCATGATGATATCTTCAATTCCCTCATTATGGTGAATATTTTTGTAATTTTTGGTAAAAAGTGATATTTTTGACTTCTTGTTGAAAACCAAAAGTCCAATTGCTTTGATATTACATATATAGATGCTACATGTGGACCTTTCTGAGATTTGTTCATTTCGTGATGATATCTTCAATTCTGTAATTTTGGTAAATATTTTTGTCATTTTTGGTAAAAAGTGATATTTTCGACTTCTTGTTAAAAGCGCAAGTCCAATTGCTTTGATATTACATATATAGGTACTACATGTGGCCATTTCTCAGATTTGTTCATTTCGTGATGATATCTAAAATTCTCTAATTTTGGTGAATATTTTTGTCATTTTTGGTAAAAAGTGATATTTTCGACTTCTCGTTAAAAACCAAAAGTCCAATTGCTTTGATATCACCTATATAGATACTACATGTGGACCTTTCTCAGATTTGTTCATTTTGTGATGATATCTAAAATTCTCTAATTTTAGTGAATATTTTTGTCATTTTTGGTAAAAAGTGATATTTTTAACTTGATATGTAATCAAATGACGTGATCTTGAATTTGGAAGTAATGATTCATCAATGTCACATGAGATGATGACTAATTTTCATTCTATGTATGCTCTACAAGCTGTCTCTCATCAGCTTGTCTATATGGTGGCACTCAAAATGGTAGTATTGGTGGCTCTCGTGTCTGCCATTAATGCCAACTCAAACAATCATTAATTTATGAATCAAATATATTGAGAACATGTTATCACATGTTATTTGTTTTGTAATGTGATGTTCCACTGCTTATTCACATGCTTTGATGCCAACCCATATGATTAGTATTACTAAATTATCGACATGGTCAACATATGACCACTTAATGTCCACATGGCTGTCTTATGACCACTTACATGTAATGTCAACATGGCTGTCTTATGACCACTTACATGTAATGTCAACATGGCTGTCTTATGACCACTTACATGTAATGTCAACATGGCTGTCTTATGACCACTTAATGTCAACATGGCTGT